AGTCAGATATTCATGTATCTAGGCAGCCCTTTGGGCATTGCTCCTATTACTATAGGTAAAATCATTGATTTCTTCCTCCACAATTGCTCAACTTCAATTTGCAAATCATGATACTTTGTTATATTTTCTAATTGTTTCTCTTTAATTCGTGCATCATCTGGTATTGCAATATCAATGAACCAGACTTTTTTCTTTTCCACAATAGTGATATCAGGCATGTTGTGGGCCAGATGGCTGTCTGTTTGGATCCGAAAGTTCCACTGTATCTTGACTTGCTCATTTTCAAGAACCTTGTCAATTTGGTGGTTCCCAGTAATTTTTGCTGCATTCAAACCCAAACGTTTGTCAAAGCTTCCAATGTATAACTTTGGCAACTCGATCATGACGTTGTAGATAATCAGTCTGTGAGATTTTGCTGCAGCCACTGATAAGGTGATCCACTGTTTCATCTTTTTCGTGGCATAAGCAACATTTGTTGTTCTTGCTGACATGTTGAACTTTTGCTTTCATGGAATTGGTCTACAAGGTTTGTTCTTGGGCAGCCAAAATGAAGCCTTCAGTTTCTTTCTTCAGCACTCCTGATCTCAACCAGCTAAGTTAATTTTGTATCTACCTTTCCTTCAATGTCTTTCAGGTATAGACTCTGCACAGGCTTCTTTTTCCAGTTAAAAACCCAATGCTCAATTATTGTTGTTGTTGTAACCCATCCCACCCAGTCAGAAGGGAAGGTATGTTGCAGATGCCTTAAGTTAAGGAATTTCAACTGGCAGAATCTAGGAAGAGTCTTTTCTGCCGTCGCATCAGCTCTGTGGAATATTCTCCCCTCTCCTGGCCTTCTGGAAAAGGAGTTAAAATATGGCTCTGCACTCTTGCGTGGGGGACCCCAGAGGGACCCGCAGCTGTGGGGCTGGTTGGCGTCTGAGCTCTCCCTTCGCATTTTTAACCAATTTTTAACAGGGTTCATCCTTGCTTCCTTTTAAATTCTAATTGTTTTTCATTTTTAATTCTTATATGCTGTTTTTATTTTTGGCAGAAAGGTTTGCTTTTCTTAGTAGTGCTGCTGGATACTATCAGCCTATTAGGGCGGTGATAAGATGAGCACAGACCAAATTGAGGTCAGACCCAGGCAATAAGCCTGTCAATCAGGTTTTTTTTTCTTTTTTGCAACCAATGATCTATAGCCATCTCTGTCAAAATGCAGACATGACCAGGATGCTGCATTTGATCATGCAAGGTGGTATTTGTCAATCCGAAAAGCAGATATTTTGCCTGTGGGAATAACACTAGGAAGATGATGATGATATACTGTTTTTATATTTTAGCGCTTTAATGTACACCATCCAGAATCCCTCTCTGAGAGAGATTGGGGGGGGGGGGATCAAAAATGTGAAAAATCAATCAATAAATAAAATATTCCACCTAATTATATTTTTGTCAACTCAATGTTCATAGTTTTTATTAATCTCTTGCTTATTATCTTTTGTCTCACAAAAAAGCAACTTAAGTTTTTTTGTTCTTCTGTTCAATCGTGTCTTATTGACAGAGACTACCTGGACAAGTCCCTGCAGTTTTCTGGGCAAGGTTTTTCCCAGGTGGTTTGCCACTGTCACCTTCCTAGAGCTGAGAGAATGACCAATCCAAGGTCATCCAGCTGGCTTTGTCCCTAAGGTTAGGCTAGAACTCACAGTCTCCTAGCCTTATGCCTTAACCTATACCTAGACAGAAAACTCACAGATGAGAAATATAAATATAAAAGATTTATTCTGTTTCACTGAACATACAATGCTTAAGATAGTGACAATAAAAAACCTTACATAATAATTTTAAAGTTCATCATGCAATTAAGCACAATGACATATAAAGAACTTCAGATCTCATAAATATAACATATGGTACTATATAACACAGTTTTTCTTTCTTTTAATAAATAGGAATAGAAATAAATTTGGTTGTTATTGGGGAGTTTGTCTCACAGCTTGATAGCTAGAAAGTTATATTGCTTTCCAACATTTACATTCCTACAATATATTGGTCAAATTTTCATCATTCAACACCCAGCAAGACAATTGCAATTTAGGAAGAATATGGAATATGAATATTTCAAAAACATTCCAATAATTTAATTTACTATGTTTAATGATGCAAATGATTTTTAAAAAATGAACTTTTGAGTACTGGGAAGCAAAAGAGGTTCTTACATCAATAGCTATATTCTGATTACTTATGTAAGCACTGCCTGCTAAAACTTATTCGCTCTATTTCCTCTTCTACATATTACTCTGCAGCGTAGCTTGGAAGACAGAAAATTTATCAAACAAGCTTCTACTGCTATTACCTTCTCTGCCTCAGTACTGGTGGACTAAAAGTAAAAAGGGAGAAATATTTGTTCCACTTATAAAGTGTTCTCATTTCTATTTAGAGGCAATTCTCACCACAGATGATCAAGCAAGACACTATAAACTTTCATTCAAGTATTTAGTTATACCACTATACGCTACCTGAAACTGCTGGTATTAATTCATGAAGAATGCAGTGCTAACATTTGAAAGCATAAACAGTATGTTACAGTAAAGGTCACGGGGTAATTAAAATTAAGCCCAGATAAAACCAAACATACCTCTATCATCTCCATCATTGTTTCTGTGATAATATCCTTTTCTATAAGATGTTCCATTAATTCCTTCAACACTAGCTGACTTGCTAGGAATATACGGTTCTTTTTCAACACTTCTTGGTGACATTTCTGCATGCCACATGCACCCAGCATCCTAGAAACAAAACAAATCTAAATGGAAATATTATAACTTACAACAAGCACATAGAGGCAAGTGTTTGAACATTTAACCATTTTTGTCTAGAGTATAATTCCAAACCTACTAATGGCTATAATAGGGATATTTCCAATTTAAGTTTTAAATTTATCTTTAAGCATTAGAATACAGATATTATAGGCTCTGGCAAACTTACGCAGACCTGCAATCAAGTATGATCAAGGTCAAAACAATGGACACATATGAAACCACTTCTTGCAGCAGAGTAATATACCCAACTAAAAGACTGTGAACTATAAATATACACATTTTCTATTACTTCTTAATAGGATAATTCTTTTATCTCATCTTAATTATTTAGCTGCTCCAATAAACCAACAGCTACCATAATGTGCAAATCAGCTACTGAAACATCACACCAAACTCTGTGGTATGTTATTACCTGATGTTGGACTGATACATCTATTCAAAAATAGAATGGTGACTTGAAATGTTGGTCATAGCTTCTTTCTTTTAAAAAAATAATTTTATATTTGGTGATTCAAGTCAGCATCAAACCAACACAACTTATAATTGTTTTTAATGGGGCATTCACTTCAAAGTCCCTCAGACAACAGTAAAAAGCAGACCAAAGAACAGCCAACAACTTGAGGCAACTGGAACAAGTTTCCTTCACAGCTTTCCCTTCCCAAATGGGTGATTCCTATTGAAAAGTATATTTTAAAAAATGTATTCTGCTATATTTATTATATTTATATACTACCAGAGTCAACAAACATTACTCTCAGCAGATACATCATTCTATGTGGACTTAACAATTATACAGGAGTTTTTATAAATACCTCACACATTACCAAGGTATACTTGTTAATAGTATTTAAAAGCTATACGCGGATTTTCAAAATAAACGCCAGCAAGGTAATGATAGCTATGTCACAGCAAATATTTATGAACGATGCATTCATGGCTCTTTAAATAATCCAGACACGGATTTTGCTGAATTTGTTTTCATTTTACACAGAAAGCATGGAAAACTCCAGTCATATAATAACTGAGATCAATGACAGTGCTGCAACAGATGTATATAACCGTTATTCCATAATCAGGAAAAACAGAAAAGAGCTTTAATTTTGTGCAAGGGTCTTTGCAGAGAGAGAGAAAAAAAAAAAAACTTCCAATGCTATACAAGCCCACCGATCTTTCCTAACTTTAGAATTTCTAAAGGCTGATTTTTTTTTTTAAATTGGAGCATCCCTTCAGCCTCTCTCGAGTATGAACTTCTAGTCCTCAGGTGACCTCCTAAAAAGGAAGTCGTTCTTTCCTCTCGCTCCGCTTGCACTTAAGAGGGAGAAGAGCAACTCAAGTGATGGGACGGCTGCAAAAATCGGAGTCAAATAGTGAACACGAAGAGTTTCAGAAACCTAATGTGTTACTCCCAATCCAGACTTCTGCAAGCCGAGCCGAAAACGAACGGCCGAGCAAGGTAAAAAGGCGAGGGGAAATCAGGGCAGGCGGGGTGAGGAAAGCAGGCAACACGCTCAGGAGGAAACGTCAAAGCCGCAAGTGGGAACTCTCGGCCCCCAGGAAAGCCTCACCCTCCCAAGGCACTGCAGTTGCAATGCAGAGCCCGCCAGAGCGGGCGGTCCTTCTGCTCCATCCCTTGCCCTGCAGGCGGGAAGGCTTCCCCAGGCTCCCTCGAGCTAATTCTACCTGCTCCACTCCCGTCCCTTTGGCGTCGGGCCCTGACTAACAAGCGCGCCGCGGAAGCCACCGCCAGCAATGCGCACGGCGCGTTCCGGTCCTCCTTTTAGCGGCGCCAGCCGTGCTAGGCCCCAGGCGGAAAAGCGGTTTCCCGCTCAAATTCCTCGCTCTTTAGCCAGCAGGAAAGAAAAGAAGCGAGCATCCTCGGTCACGTGGGCGCACCTCGCCTCCTGCCCTCTGTGCGCTTGCGCGAGTGGCGGTGTGCGCGCGCAGTGCTGTCATTTCTCCCCCCCCCCCACCCCCGGGCAAAGGAAAAGATCCCCAAGGTTCGTTTGTAGAATTCAGGATTTTTAACCTGCTCTACATCCAGGCGGCGGTTGTTTTCACTGATTTATCCAATCTTTGGACATCATAATCTGCCTTTCTTGCAACAGCGTCCCTTACGAAAAAGATTGCCTTGTGGCTTTCTTGCTGGTCCTTCCCTTCTGCACGTTATTTTCACTGAGTTAAAACAAGACTGGAGAATCTCGTTGCGCCAGATGCCGCTGAACTACAACTCCCAGCAACCTCAGTTAGCAGGTTCAATAGCGAAGGGTTTGGGGAGTTATAGTTCAGCGACGTTTGGCAATCTCACAGGTTAGTGATTACTCCTGTTTGTAATTTACATTACGCTACCTGCTTGCTAGCTATCCTTAACTGAACCATAATATATTGAAGTAATAGGTA